AGTATGTGATCTGCAAGGAAGCCCAACGAAAAAGTCAGGATTTTGAGCAAGAAATCAACCAAAATATCATCAAATATGGCCGAAATAATACATGCACAGTCACAGTTGAAAAAAAAAATCAGAATTTTGGAGAAAAAAAGGAGTGAACAGACCTTTGAAATCCGAGTGCAATCTTCACAAACAAGAGCACCACCCAAGTCGGCAACAAAGAGGTGAAGAACTGGTCGAAAATCGCTCGAAAATCGCCCAAGAATCGCCTGAAAATCGCAAAAAATCGACGTGAAAAACCCTAAAAACCCTAAGTCCCGACTTATATAGCAGCCGGGCGAGACAGGAAACTCTGTCTCGCTGAGCGAGACAGACAACTCTGTCTCGCCGAGCGAGACAGAAAACACTGTCTCGCCCAGCGAGACAGAAAACTCTGTCTCGCCGAGCGAGACAGTAAACTTTTCTGTTTTGCACTATGGAACAGTGGAATACTCCAATGGGTACACGAGTCTAAACTGTATTCCCACCCTCAACAGGAAGTTTCTGGAGAATATTAATCTGAATATTCTTAAGGATAACCTGAGGAATTCTCAATGGATATACCAATTCAATGGTAAACGCTGAATTCACAAGAGCAAGTATCAACTTCAATTCAAGATCTCGACAACGGTCAAGCGATAAACGCGACGCCGGGAGAACGTTAGCTATTCTACGAAGAACTGGATAGACTAACAGCAGAAGAGGTTAAACATTGAAGCCATTTACAAGTCCTTTCATACGATCTATTCAGCCAAGCATTGAAGGGATCGTAAGTAAAATCTATCTTATCCAAAGTATCCCATGCTCCTCTATAAAAGAATGAGTCTGGAATACTTTGGAGGGGGTATCTGTAGGCGTCAAAAAATGCTAATAGATATCCCAAGCATAGAGAAGATCACTCAAAAATTCACAAGAAAGGATTTCATACTGTTTTGGAAAAATCAAAACAAGTATGAACTGTCTCGCCAGCGAGACAGTCTTTGCTGTCTCGCCAGCGAGACAGTGTTGAAATAGTCAAAACTACATTTGTAACTGCCCTACACGTGTCCATTAACTGCCAAGGGACGTGGGAAACATCATGGGCGAAAATCACGTGGATAACTGCCAAAATAACGGAGTTTGAAACGTGAGAGAACAGTTACAGCGAGAAACTGCCATTTTCCGAGACAGCATTTACTGTCTCGCTGAGCGAGACAGCAAATTTACTATCTCGCGGGTCGAGACAGCAAACGTTGTCTCGCCCAGCGAGACAGTAAACACTGTCTCGCCGTACTGACTTCTTCGATTGTTAAGTTTTTGCAGTTACTGACCCTTGAGGCTATAAATACCCCCCTAGGGTCACTTCTGACGAGGATCGAGCATTTGTTAGAGCATTCCAGAGCAGAGAGAGCAGAGATTTGGGTTCTTTTCTTGCAACGCCTTGAAATTAAGCTTCGACTTGATTTTAAGAAGAACGACTATCTTACTTCGATAAGATATCGTTTCAATTTCTACTTCGATAACGAAGTTAGAATCATAAGCCCCCTCTTCACGATCTGTGAATCGGCGGTCCACGAACCAAAGCGTTCCCGGCACAGGCAAAGTCCCACGAAAACGAGAATTGATAGACGATTTTCGTGTTTGTTTCTCAAGAGTTGTAATTTTTGATTTGTTGTGTAGAAAAAGTCTTATAAAAAGATTATTCTTTCGAATTTGTTGTAATCGAACAAAGTTATAATGAATTCCACAGCAGCGACTTTTGAACCAAACAGAGAGATAAACGTATCCTCTGATCTTAGGAAATTCGATACAACGTGCACATTTACAACTTCAGAACTCAGAAGAATTGATTTCAAAAGCTACGGTGTACTACATTATTTTGTTGCTGAACACTAACGTTCTCCACACCCATATTTGGATGTGAATTCTATAATTGACATTCACAAGAGGTGCTTTGAATAGGTCGAATTTCATAATTGCCACTTTGAACAGTGGGTTTTACAACTATAATTGGTGGAAGAGAAGCCACTAGCAAGCGTTAAATTGGACAGATAATGAATACAATGATATATCATTGGATGACGGGTGTTACTATAGCTGAGTATTAAAAAAGCAAAATAAATAAATAAATCATGCAGTGGACCCTAAAATGGTGGGGTATATACCTCAAAGCTTTCTTCAAATACTGCAGCTCCTTGTCAAGATCTTCAATCCCGTCTATATGCTTGTGATGGAGAAGACTGGCCTGTAGTGTGGATCTGCGGAGAGTACAAGGGATGTCAAGCCGACATATTTTTCTAAAGGAAAAAGAAAAGGACATCAGCTAATTTACAAAATTACACAATGGCGACAGTGGCAGTCTTGGTCTGTTTGTTGAGACCCATACGCGGCTATGCGCAAGACCAACCTCCCAATGCGACCAAAACCTGCACAAATCAACTCTTGTAATATGCTTAGCTTACAAATACGACATTCAAGTGACCTACAATTTCAGTCTTAAGGTATAGACAAGATTGATTGCGTCCAAAGTCTCAAATGGATAACAGTAAAGAGTGATCATACCATTTCAGTCTTTGTTTTCCCACCACTCGATGATCCTAAACAACAAATTATTGATTATGGCATAATATCTCTTAATGAAAATTAAAGAATTACTTAGGAGAAACTCAATGAACTGTATATGCCAAGGAACAAATCTTAAGATTGCAGAAGTTGTAAGCATAAATTAAACCAAACAGATTAATCATAGTATGATTCTGACGTACCAGTGCAAAGTGCTCGGAAGTTCTCTACAAAGTCACATATATAAAGTGTATAAACAAATCTAACTACATGCAAACACATCAACTAAGACACCTTAAACTAGCTTGCAACTAAAAATAAGAGATGTAACAAAAATAGAGTGGGCTATAAGATCTCAGACTAGGTCTGTCTTTAAGTAAAATATCTCATATCCACAAAGTCACATATATGTTGAATGCCAAAAAAATTGATGATATTTGAAGTCCAAGCTCCCACAAACCCTGATCTCTCCTTGCTGCATCTTACCTGTAAAATTCACCAACCAACCTTAGTAGAACAGTAGCAAAAACATGGTAGTAAACAATGCAGATAAATGCTAGCGTTATAAAATCGTCAACCAGCGCGTCACCACCAGAAAGAGCAACGATGTCCTGGTCACTAAGACCCACGTGCCCAATAACATCTCGAAGGTGATCATAAACATGAATTATTTAAGAAAAAAGGTTATTTCTTTTGTTAAGACTAAATAATGAGAAACTTCAGGAGGCTGTATTTTGAAATTTATACCCTTTTAGTAATATCAGGAAGGCGGCCTTCAAAACTCAAGCATTCAGGAGAGCATGAAGTAATAATGAGATAAAAATAGAGGTTTCTTCAAGCAAAAAAAATTACAATAATATTGAATTTGGATAATCTCCACAAATTAGTGCTCGGTTAGTTTATAAAACTGATTTGACTCTCCAGATGCTTAACTAGGCAACATTAATCAAAGGATATTTTTCAGATCTTATACATATGTAAACATATCAGTAAAAATACTGATAATGAATTGCATTAAATGACTTTAGCAAACGAAACCCCAAAGTAAATACACCCAATAAAAAAATAAATCCGTAAAAGCTCTCACCTTGGGGTGTTGCCGTCTGCACAATGGAAGCCCTCCGCTTAAACGATGGATTTTTCCTCCGATCCTGGAATCAGTAGGAACAAGAAATCCCCAGTCTCAACAACAACAACAAGTGAAAGAAAGGAAAACAACCAGAAGGAGAGTTGAGATTTGAGGAAGCTGACCTCAAAGAAGACAGATTAATTTTAAAAATCAAGACTTGAATCTCTTCATTCTATCTTTACCATCTAACCTGAAAGAAGAATTTCCATCAGAGAGAGCCACCATGGATTTAGAGAATGAGCTTGAGAGGAGGTAGAGGACTTACAA